GGGCCGGGGGTGGAGGGGGGGCGCGGGGGGGAGGCTGGGAAGTTTGGGGGGGATGAGGGGGAGTGGGACTCGAGGAAGGGGGGTGCGGGGAGGCCGGGCCTGCGTGCAGGGGTCCCCCCCCTTTCTCAAGAGGTGGTGATGAGGATGGGGGTGATGATGATGGTGGTAGAGGGGTCCTAAGAGACTGATGGGGGGGTCCTTGTCCCATCCCTCCAAGGCCTGCACAGGTGTGGGAGAAGTTGGGGGGTAGGTGGGGAAACCACTGGTTTTTGTCTAGAGGAGCTGAGGAGGTAGGGGTGGGGTGGGGGTGCTGGGTCTTTAGGGTACCAGATTTGCACCCCCTTCCCCTCCATATCCACACATACACACACACACACACAAGCAGGTTGTGGTTCCTATCTTCCTTTCTGCACCCCCTGGCGCACACTCCCTCTTTCTCTCTTACATACACACACCCCTTTTTTCCATCTGTCTCCCCCCCCAACCCTGCAGTCCTTCCCAAGAGAGCCAGACACAGGCTCAAACCTCCAGCTAGGCCAGCCAGGGGGTAATAAAAGGGGAAAGATGGGAGATGGGAGAGAGAGGCAAACCCAACCGACCCCTTCCTGCCCTGTGATTTCTTTACCTCCCCAGCGGTGACCTAGCTTCTGCACTGGGGGTGGTGGTGGAAGGCAGGGGATGGGCCTGGGGGGTCTTAGAGTGGGGAAGGGGGGGCTTTGCCTGGGCCTCGTGCAGAAGAGAAAGGGAGGTACCCACCTTCCTATCCCAGGCCCTCCCTTCCCCTCCCCCACACTGCCATCTTGAGACCTGTGGCACCCAAGGCCCCACCCCACCCTGGCACCCAGAGAAATGGTCATCCGTAGGGATGGATGCACTCTGAGCTGCTTGCCTCTTCCCTCAGGGTGTGTGTATGTGTGGGGGGGGAGACTGGATTCCTCCATCAAGCTCCCCTCCCCCATGATCACCCTCATGCTGGACCCACAGACCATGTGACTCTTCTTCCCCTCCCCTCCACCACCTCTCCCCCCCCCCCACTCTCACAAAGCTGTGGTGAGACCCTGAGAAGCTGAGTTCTGGCCTTCTGCTTTCCCCTGTGGGTCAACTTTATGGTCTCAGATCCAGCTCCTGGAGCCTTATTGTCTTCCCTAGTGGAAGATCTGATCTCTCCCAAGTCCTGGAACATTCTTCCCCCCACCCCCCCCCTTCCCATCACCACCATCATCAACTTCCAAACCGCCCCCATCCCCAGCCTCTCCCCCCCCCCCAGCCTTCATCAGCATTCAGTCTCAGGCTGTCCAAACACAAGGGGATTGTTCTATTAGCACACTCCGGGGTGGGGGGCTGGGAGCAGGCGGCCCACACACCCTGGCAGGCCCAGAGGCTGCAGTGAAGTCTGGCCTGCCCCACCCTGAATCCCCAGACCCGGGGCTCTATCCACTTTCCCTCCTCCGGTGACTGCCTCCCTCCCCCAGCCTCCATCAGCAGAACTCGGTGCTCAGCTCTTAAGGAGAGAGTCTGGTTGGGCTGGTGCAGATAGAAGGAGAGGGAGAGGTTTCTCCCGGCTTGTTCCTGGCCTCCTGGGCATTGAGAATCATTTCACTTAAGTCTTTTCAACTCGGGCTCACATTTCCCCCAACTCTTTGAAAGCCTTCATCAGATTCGGGGAGAAGATTCCCACTGTGGTCCCCTAGAAACTCATAGCAGTAATGCCCCTGGGCTTGGGAGAAAGAATGCAAATGGACTGTGATGTGGAGGAAGGATCTGGAAAGATCTTGTCTGCCCCTGTGAAGGTGTGTGTGTGTGTGTGTGTGTGTGTGTGTGTGTGTGTGTGTGTGTATGCGCGCTCGCCAGGATTCTGTGCCTAAAGGATCTCTTAACACCTCTCCCCCCAGGGCCTACTAGGTACCCTAACTTCTCCTTATGCAGGGAAAGAACCTGGGCCTGTCTCAGATTTCCCCTCTGTATAGCAGAATGACAGACTCCAAAAGTCCCTATTGGGAATCTTGTGACTTTTGAGTAGTCATCTTTTTGGTGGCGGTGGGGATGGGAGGGGATACAGAGGCCTAAGAGGGCTTTACATCTGATTCTGGAAGCTTCGGGAAGGTGGATTTAGGCATGCATTTCAAGCTGGGGTGAGCTGGTGAAGACCTAAGAGGTTTTGGAAGAGCTAGGCCTGGCGTGCACGGCGTGGTCAGGGAGGAAAACGGGTGTAAAAGGGAAGACAAGAAAAGCTGACAGGAGCTGGACAAGGAAAGGCCTTGATTGCCTGTTCATGGAGCTCAGGCTTTTCCTCTTTCCATTCTTGGGGGGCACTGGGGAGCCCCAAGATGGTGGTGGAGCAGCGGCGGCGTGAACATGCAAGTCTTCGGCATGGAGAAGGAAGCGAGAGATTCTTCCCAGTTGGAGTGACCCTCAGGGAGTGAGGCTGTGGTGGTCTTCTTCCTAGAGTCCAGTTGAGGCCTGGGCCTGCCTTGATTTCCCTTGGCAAATGAAGACTCTTTTTTTGGGGGGGGCGGTGCTAGTTAATGATACTCCCATGTAGCATTGCAGCTCCCTGCCAGTTTGCTCTTCTGGCACTTTCACGAAATGGAATGGGAATCAAGAAGCCGGAAGCTAGAGGAGAAGTAGACCCTGAGCTACTTCCCAGTGCCCCCCTTCTACCCCCAAACTAGGTCTGATCGGTCATTCTGAGAGGCTAAAAGCCCAAGAGGCCAGGCCTTGGGCCAGAAGATGCTGGGCTATGTTTTTGTTTTTGTTTTGGTGGAGGCCAGACTAGCAGCATCAGAGTAGAGGATGGGCAGACGCCTAGGCAGCCTTCAATGCCAAGTTCCCCCCCCACTCCCCCCTGCCACACCCTGTGCCTGGCCTGTGGTGCTTAAACTGGCCTCATTGGGTGTGGTCCAGCCCATCAGGTACAGAAGGCTGGGATCACTCTGTGTGTGTGTAGGGGGTGGGTTATGATATCAGGTAGGGGTGATGTGGGAGGAGCCTGTATCTCTCCTCTCTTCTGAATTCAGGTAGGTGTGCAGAGAGCTCTGACTGGTCCAGACACTGGGCCAAGAGAGCAGGGCATCCCCCGGGGGAGGGGGTGGCCCAGTCTACTTGAGTTGCTGGCTCCCAAGAGCCCTCCCCTCCTCCCCCCCCCCTTCTCCCCTCCCCCTCCCCCCTCCCAGGATTGTTCTTACTCCAGAACAAAGCCAGGGTTGGACACTTGATCCCTGTATGTGTGTGTAGTGGGGGGGGAGGGGGAATCTGGCTAAGCCCCCCCCCTTTGATTGGGCAGCTGTCAGGAGAGAGAGAGAGACAGCTGGGGGGGAGGGGCAGGAAGAGGGTAGACTCTCTTGCCTCTATTGCTTACACAGCTGTCATTTCTCCCCCCCCCCCCACTTTCCAGCCTGAGTGGCAAGAAGCCAGCCACAGAAAGAAAGTGGGTACTGGGTCTGGGGAAGGGGTCTTGGAGAACAAGCAGGAAGGGCTGGCCGAGGTTAGGAACCTTGGTTTGAGCTGGTTATGCCCTGCCAGGGAAAGCCTGCTGACCGGAGCTGGGGGGGCGGGGGGGGGAGGAGGAAGGGGAGGGTGCCAGGCACCCTCAGAGGTGAGCTGGAGGTCAGTGTGGCACAATGTGGCCTGGCAGAGCCTCGGGGCTCCTCATTCGCTCGCCCCAGGTGGATCACAGCAAGGCTCAGGGCGGAAGAAGGCCTGGTAGGGATGGAGCGCAATTGGGGGTGGGGGGGTCTACTTTTTTCCTCTGCAAGAACTCCAGTTCCGATCGGCTCCCCATTTCTCCTGGTACCACAGAATAAATGAGGTGGTATATGGGTAGAGGGGGCACTGCGGGTGTGGGGGTGATCACATTTCCCACTGGTGACTTTTTGCCTTCTAGGCGTCCCTAGACAACCCCCTCCCACACACACACCCCAAAAAATCTGGGAGCTTAAGAGGTCTAGCTCTGGATAAGCTGCCATTCCATCTGTTCAATAGGCAAAGGGTCTCCCAGGGCAGCCAAAAGACAAAGAGACAAATAGATCCACACTGAAGCATGTCCGAAGGTGGTACAGAGCCACCACCGCTGGCTCATGCCTGTCATCCTAGCTACTCGGGAGGATCATGGTTCGAAGCCAACCTAGGCAGGAAAAATCCGTAAGACTCACCTCCGACGAACCCTTCCCAAAGCCAGAAAGTGGAATTGGGGCTCAAGTGGTAGAGCACTAGCCTTGAGGATAAAAGCTCAGGGACAGCACCCAGGCCCTGAGTTCAAGCCCTAGGATCTATCTCCTTCTCCCCTGCCTGTCTCCCCCCACCCTCTACCCCCCCAAAAAAAAGGAGACACAAATGGGAGTTTGCTCTTGGCCTGCACTAGCAAGCAGGGCTGTCTGTGACCTTGATCAGATGATAGATTGTGTGTGTAGATATTAAGATTTTTTTTCCCCCTTCTATGTCTGAGCAGTGTTCACGGTGGCCTTGCTGTGAACCGAGAGCCCTGGGGACACAAGGAGAAAGTGACAAGGCTGTCCCCCGCTGCTCTAAGGTGCTCTGGGGCTGGCTGTCCACAGGGACACAACCAAACACGTCATCACCAAATGCTTTGCTGGGGGAAGTGCAGGCAACCAGAGAAATGTCTAGCAAGGGCAGCCAGCATGAGTTTGGCCGGGATACCCAGAGCCACAGGCTCTGAAATCTACTGCTGGCCTCCACCCTTTGGCAGATGCCTATGGTAGAACTCAAATAAAAGGAGGAGCAGGTTGCTGGGGGAAAATGGCATGGTGTGGGGGGAGGGAAGGGCTGTCACCTCCGTGACATCCGTAGACTTCTATAAAAATGCCAGGCAAGCCCAGAGCCCTGTGAGTCACACCTGTAATCCTTGGCTACTTGGGAGGCTGAGATCTGAGGATCAGGGGGAAAGAAAAGTCAAAAGTGGAGGTATAGCTCAAGGACAGCTGGGGGCCGGTGGCTCACTCCTGTTATCCTAATGCAATCTGAGGATTGTGGTTCAAAGCCAGCTCTGGGCAGGAAAGTCTGTGAGACTCTTATCTCCAATGAGCCATCAGAAGACCGGAAGTGGCACGGTGGCTCAAGTGGTAGAGCACTAGCCTTGAGCTGAAGAGCTGAGAGGAAGTGCCCAGGCCCCGAGTTCAAGCCCCACAACTGACAGACACACACATACACACAGCTCAGGGACAGTGTCCAGTCCCTGAGTTCAAGTCCCAAAGGACTGGTACCCAAATCAAAATCAAGCCAGGCCAGGGGGCCCCCTTTCCTCTCCCAAGCTGGTTAGCAAGATGTCAAAGAAAGCAGTAGGTTGGAGGGGGCTGAGGAAAAAATATGACTAGAGACCTCTAAAGTGCCCCAAATGCAAGCACACTGAAGCATTTGAATCCACATCTCCTGTCTCTGGCAGAAGGAATCTGTAGAGCTGGAACTTAGTCTAGGCCCCCAATCCTCCCCCACCCACCCCCCGTTAGTCCACACCCTGCCCTTCTTGAATTATGGTCTTCTAGCCCAGCTCCATCCAGCCTGAAAACCTGGTGGAGGAGGATTTCTGAGAAGGATTAAGGTTTGGGATTAAGGGGTGTATAAAAGGGTTGGGTGGGGAGGGTTGGTAGCCAGCTAATCCTAGAAGCTAATCTCGGGCTCCAACTCCCTTCGGCATTCATGGCCCTGCCATTCCTTCAGCCCACCAAATCGATCTCTCGCCCACCATCCAGGACTTGAGACCCACAAGCTGAAGTGACTTTGTTTAGGTAGAGAATGTAGCTAGCCTTGGAAGCTTCTTACCTCTTTCCTGTGTTGGGGTGGAGGGAACCAACACTGGGTAGATTCTTGACCTTTCCCCCATGTTGAACCCCGAGTCCAGTATTGAATGCTGGCTGGTTACAGGGAGCCTCTTCTGGAGATTGTCAAGCTTTTACCAGGCAGCAGGTGAAAGAAAGATCCTCCCCCCCCGCCCACTCCTTTGCCAGTCCTGGGGCTTGAACTCAGGGCCTGGGTACTGCCCCTGAGCTGCTTTTGCTCAAGGCTAGCACTCTGCCCCTTTGTAGCCACAGTGCCACTTCTGGCCTTCTGGTGACTCACTGGAGATAAGCGTCTTAAGAACTGTCCTGCCCTGGGCTGGCTTTGATCCGATGATCCTCAGATCTCAGCCTCCTGAGTAGCTAGGATGACAAGCGAGAGCCACCAGTGCCTAGCTTCTACCTTCTTCTTGTGCTGGGGTTCAAACCTAGGGCTTTGCATATACTAGGAAAGTATGGTACCACCGAACTGAGCTATATCCCCAGTCTTTCTAGATACATAGATATCTGTGATGAAGAAGGAATGGTAATTCAGAATGGCTGAGTACTTGTGTATATGTGTGTGTGTGTGTGTGTGTGTGTGTGTGTGCACACTACATGCATGTGTGCTGGTCCTGAAGCTCGAACTCAGGGCCGGGGTACTGTCCTTTAGCTTTTTCCCATTCAAAGCTGGTGTTGAACCACTTGAGCCACAGCTCCACTTGGATGGTTAATTGGACAGAAGAGTCTTACTGACTTTACTACCTGGGGCTGTCTTTGAACCGGCGATCCTCAGATCTCAGCCTCCTGAGTAGCTAGGATGACAGGCGTGAGCCTCCGGTGCCTGATTTCAATGTGTCTCATTTTAATTCGCATAACTTTTTTTGGGGGGAATGGGGTAGGATTTTGGTAATTACCGATGGGGATAACTTGGGGTCGGCATAGGTTCCAGGACCTGGGGATGATCCCAGCTAAGGAGACGTGTGCTAATACACTGGGTGTGTTTTCTCCTGTCCCTTGCCAGAGTCACAGAGCAGGTCACAGCGTGGACACACTCCTAGGCCACTGCGGCCCCAGCCCCGCCCGACACGATGAGTGGCTCAGATGCGGGGCTGGAGGAGGAGCCGGAGCTCAGCATCACCCTCACGCTGAGGATGTTGATGCATGGCAAGGTGAGGGGGCGTGGTCAGGTAGAGTAGTGGGCGTGGCGTGGCATGGTGAGGGGCGTGGTTAGGCAGAGCGGTGGGCGTGGCCTGGCATGGTGAGTGACCTGATATGTATGAGGGGACGTGACGGGCAGAGTAGTGGGCGTGGCCTGGCATGGTGAGGGGTGTGGTTAGGCAGAGCAGTGGGCGTGGCCTGGCCTGGTGAGTGGCCCAGTATGTATGAGGGGGCGTGATGGGCCATGGTGGCGTGGTTGGGTAGAGTGGTGGGCGTGGTCTGGCATGGTGAAGGGGCGTGGTTGGGCAGAGCGGTAGGCGTGGCCTGGCATGATGAGTGGTCTGGCATGTATGAGGGGGCGTGGTCTGGCAGGTGCATGGGCGGGGCCTCAGTGACAGGCCAAGGCTCAGGCTTCCTACAAGAGTCCCTGCCTGAGTGAAGGGAAGGGGCTGGGCCCCAGGCTCTGGTCCCCAGGCTCTGGTCCCCATCCGACTCCACCCTTGGTCTTGTTTGCAGGAAGTGGGCAGCATCATTGGGAAGGTAAGGTGCTTGTGGGTGAAGCCAGGGTTCAGAGGTGATTAGCCATGGAAGCTAAAAGAGCCCGTTGTTTGTTTCGTATCCATCCCACAGAAGGGAGAGACTGTGAAACGAATCCGGGAGCAGGTGAGGCTGGGGCAGAGAGGGTGGGAAGGAAGGGAGCCCCAGGGTGTGTGGATGGGGGTGTGCAGAAGGAGCTCCCCACTACCGCATCACCTCCCTGGGCCAGTCGGGAAGGCCCGGTGGGCTTGCTGGCAATCGAGGTAGGGGAAGGCGGCCCTGCTGCCCTGCGGCTCATTCTCTATCCACAGAGCAGTGCCCGGATCACCATCTCCGAGGGGTCCTGCCCAGAACGCATCACCACCATCACCGGCTCCACAGCTGCTGTCTTCCACGCCGTCTCTATGATCGCGTTCAAGTTGGATGAGGTCCGTGGGCAGGCCGGGGCCTGAGGAAGCCTAAGGGGGGTTGTCTGGGAAGAATTCCAGCTGCATAGAATGGCTATGGGTAGGAGGGGCGGCCAACCCTGGCCAGTATGGCCCCCCCTCCTTTTTGTTTCTATTGGTTAGTCATGGGGCTTAAGCTCAGGACTTAGGTGCTGTCCTTGAGCTCTTTTTGCTCAAGGCTAGTGCTCTGCCACTTTGAGCCATAGCTCATTGGAGATCAGAGTCTCCTGGATGTTCATTACCCCGGGGCTGGCTTTGAACCATGATCCTCAGATCCCAAGTGTCCCGAGTAACCAGGATGGATGACAGGTGTGGCACTTGAGAAGAGAGTTAACGAAGAAGAAGCGTGCATAGCCAACCCCCCCCCTCGCCCCATCTTCCTGCCACAGGACCTTTGTGCGGCTCCTACAAATGGTAGCAATGTCTCTAGGCCTCCTGTGACCCTACGCCTTGTTATCCCTGCCAGCCAGTGTGGCTCACTGATCGGGAAGGCTGGCACTAAGATCAAAGAGATCCGGGAGGTGAGGAGCAGGGGCACTGCCTAGTGGTAAGAGGGGAAACTGGGCTTGTGGCTTTGAACCCCAGGGTGGAGCTCCGAGCCTGCCAGTCCTGCTGCTTTTAGACCATTAGAGTTGCCAGACGGAGTCACTTTGCTTTGGCCTTGGCCTTGTTTTTTTTTTTTTTTTTTTCTTCTCTCCCTCTCCTTCCCCACTGCCCCCCTGCCCCTCTGTCTTCTTCTTCTTCCTCTCTCTCTCTCTCTTTCTGTTTTTGATTGGTCATGGGTCTTGAACTCTGGACCTGAGTGCTGTCCCTCAGCTCAAGGCTAGCGCTCTACCACTTGAGCCACAGCGCCACTTCTGCTTTTCTGGTGGTTTATTGGAGATAAATGTCTCAAGGACTTTCCTGCCTGGGTTGGCTTTGAACCATGATCCTCAGATCTCAGTAGCTAGGATGACAGGCGTGAGCCATGGCCCTATCTATCTATCTATCTATCTCTTTATTTCCTACCTCCAATCTAGCTCTCTCCTTTCTCTTATATTTATCTTTCTGCTTCTCTGTATTTCCTTTCTCCTCTCTCTCTCTGCTTCTTTCCTCTCTCCCTCTCTTCCTTCCCTCTCCTCTTCTTTTCTCTCTCTCTTCCTGCCACTCTTACAGCCTTCGCCTGGCCTGAAACTCTCACTTCTGTCCAGCCTCCTCCCTAGTGCGGGGATCATAGGTGTGCACTACCATACTCGGCTGTAGCTGTTGATTTTTTTTTTTCTCTTCATAGACCACGGGAGCCCAGGTGCAGGTGGCAGGGGACCTGCTCCCGAATTCCACAGAGCGTGCTGTCACCGTGTCTGGGGTGCCGGACGCCATCATCCTGTGTGTGCGCCAGATCTGTGCTGTTATCCTGGAGGTGCTGCTCTGGGGAAGGGCAGAGGAGGGGGGAGAGGGGAGCCCCCTAGTCCTGTTGATGCCAGTGACATTGGGGTGGGGGTAGGGGAGTGTTGCAGGGGTGAACTCCAGGGCATGGGGGGGGGGCTTTAAGGCTATTGGGTTCTGTGTGTGTGTGTGTGTGTGTGTGTGTGGTAATAGAAGCTGAGTGAGTACTTTGTGTCTTTCAGTCCCCACCCAAAGGAGCCACCATCCCCTATCACCCCAGCCTCTCCCTAGGTTCTGTTCTCCTCTCTGCCAACCAGGTGAGGGAAATGACCCAAGGGGAGAGCAAGGAAGCATGATTGGAGGGGGCTAGCAGGAAGGATGGGGATGGTGGGGGGAGCCGGGCACCCGTGGCTCACGCCTAGCTACTCAGGAGGCTGAGATCTGAGGATCATGGTTCAAAGCCAGCCAGGGCAGGAAAAGTCCGTGAGACTCTTAACTCTAATGAACCACCAGAAAACCGGAAGTGGCGTTGTGGCTCAAGTGGTAGAGCGCTCGCCTTGAGCTGAAGAGCTCAGGGACAGCGCCCAGGCCCAGAGTTCAAGCCCCACGACCGACCAAAACAAAAATTAGGGGGTGAGGCCAGGCGTGACCTTGGCTGATGTGTCCCGACCTGCCACAGTGACCCCCCCCCAACCCCTCTTGGGCTTCTTCCCCGCCATTGTCCCTACAGGGCTTCTCTGTCCAGGGTCAATATGGAGCAGTGACCCCTGCTGAGGTGAGTCGACCCCTGCTCCACCAACCCAAGGCTTCTCTTCTTGAACTGCCTGACCTCTGACCTTTTCTACCGCTTGACCTCTGACCTCTGACCCCCCCCAGGTCACTAAGCTCCAGCAGCTCTCAGGCCACGCAGTCCCCTTCGCCTCACCCAGTGTGGTGCCAGGTGAGTTTACTTCCGGCAGGAGGCAGTGGGGCAGCCTACCTTCTTAGTCATTTTAGGTATGCCAGCCCTGGGGCTTGAACTCAAGGCCTTAGGGCTCTGTCCCTGAGCTTTTTAAAAAATTTTTCCCTCAAGGTTAGCACTCTACCCACTTGAGCCACAGCTCCACACTTCCGGCTTGTTTTTGTTGAGTTTTTGGTGGTTCATTGGAGAGAATCTTCTAAATAGGTTTTCCTGTCCCAGGCTGGCTTTGAACTGTGATCCTCAGATCTCAGCCTCCTGAGTAGCTGGGAAGATGGGCGTGGCTCTGGACAGCCCCCCCTTGAACAGACAGACCTAGACACCCCCCCCACCCCACCCACCTCATTCAAGTCTCTTCTCCACCTCAGGACTGGATCCTGGTGCACAGACCAGCTCCCAGGAATTCTTGGTTCCCAATGACGTGAGCATGGGAAGATGGGGTGGTAGGAAGGGTGGGTAGGGGGACCCAGGGTATTGGGGGTGGGGGGTGGGAAGGTGGGCCTTATATCCAAGTGTTGCACGCCGCCTTCCCTCCAGCTGATCGGCTGCGTGATCGGACGCCAAGGTAGCAAGATCAGCGAGATCAGGCAGATGTCAGGGGCGCATATCAAGATCGGGAACCAAGCAGAGGGTGCTGGGGAGCGACACGTGACCATCACCGGCTCCCCGGTCTCCATCGCCCTGGCCCAGTACCTCATCACTGCCTGGTGAGCACGGAGTGGCTGCAGGAGGGGAGGGCCCACCTCCTTTCTCTCTCGATTGGTCCTCTGCTTCCCCTAAGCCCCTCCTACTGTCCTGTGACATTCTACCCAGCTTCCTCCTCTGCGTCCATTGCTCATGTCCCCGCTGCCCATTGCTGCCTCTGTGTGTGTGTGTGTGTGTGTGTGTGTGTGTGCCAGCATACCAGTGCCAGTACTGAGGTTTGAATTCAGGGACTGGACACTGTCCCTTAGCTTTTTTAATTTTTTTAATTGGTGGTTCATTGGAGGTAAAGAGTCTCATGGATTTTCGTGCCTGGGCTGGCTTCAAACTGTGATCCTCAGATCTCAGCCTCCTGAGTAGCTGAGGATTATATAAGCATGATTCACTAGTACCTGGCCTAATCTCAGCTAGGATGACAGGTGTGAGCCACTGGCGCCTGGCTCTTTTTTTTTTTTCCTTCCTTCTTTCTTTCCTTCCTTCCTTCCTTCCTTCCTTCCTTCCTTCCTTCCTTCCTTCCTTCCTTCCCTATCTCCCTTCCCTCTCTCCTTCCCTCCCTTCCTCCCTCCCTCCCTCCCTCCTTCCTTCCTTTCTTCCTTCCTTCCTTTCTCTCTCTTTTTTTTTTGTCAGTCATGGGGCTTGAACTCTGGGCCTGGGCGCTGTCCCTCAGCTCTTTAGCTCAAGGCGAGCGCTCTACCACTTGAGCCACAGCACACTTCCTGTTTTCTGGTGGTTGGTTGGAGATCAGAGTCTCACAGACTTTCCTACCTGGGCTGGCTTTGAACCACCATCCTCCAATCTCAGCCTCCTGAGTAGCTAGGGTGACAGGCGTGAGCCACCAGCACCGGGCCCATTGCTGGCTCTTTTTCCTGATTTTTGTTCGTTTGTTTTCCCGAACCCGTTTCTTCCCCCCTACTGCTTGATTCACTTGTCTGGTCTCCCCTCCTCGCCCTTCCACCTCCCCGCCCCAACACAGCAGCACTAGGTCCTTGGTCTGGCTACGTCATCTCACCCTCACTTTCCCCCTCCTCTCCCCCTCTGTATTCCTCTCTCCAGTCTAGAGACGGCCAAGTCTACCTCTGGGGGTACACCGGGCTCAGCCCCCGCAGACCTGCCCACCCCCTTCTCACCGCCCTTGACAGCCCTGCCCACGGCTCCCCCAGGCTTACTGGGAACACCCTATATCTCCCTCTCCAACTTCATCGGCCTCAAACCCGTACCCTTCTTGGCTCTACCACCTGCTTCCCCGGGGCCACCGCCGGGCTTGGCGGCTTACACGGCCAAGATGGCAGCAGCCAATGGTAGCAAGAAAGCTGAGCGGCAGAAATTCTCCCCCTACTGAGGCCGGCTGAGGCACAGACGATGAAGGGGGGGGGTGGGGGACAGGCAGGACCCCCCACCTCACCCCCACCCACCTCCCCGCCGCCCTCCCCCTGCCCAGGCAAGAGCTGCCAATGTATCCTGCCTGCTCCCCAGGAAACTCCACTTTGGGGTGTGTGTGGGGTGGGGGCAGGGGAGGTCTACATGGGGGACATCCCAAGCGCCCCCCCCCCGAATGCCAGACGCATGGATGCATCCCCCCTACTTTTACCCCAGGCCCCCCCCGGGCTTTCTAGAGTTTGTCCTCTCAGAGAAAGGGAGTTGGTTTCCAGCCCAGGGTTTCTGGGCAGGAAGGTCACTTGGGAGACCCACCAACTCTCTTGGGCTATATAGATCAACAGCCTGAGTTGCCAGAGAGTCCTAGAGCTTCCGATCATCTTCGATCACTTTCCAAGCTAGGAGATCAACAGTCCCCCCCCCCGCCCCCGGGGGCTTCTGGTTCGGTTGCCCTGGTGGGGAATCAGGGAGGAAGAGGAGGGCTTGAGGGGGTGGGCTGAGGGGGAACAACCTTCTCTCTGCTCCCCTCCCGCTCCCCCTCCGCACCCCTGCATTTTCCGGCTGCTTTCACTGATAACCCTTTCGACTGGAAAAGGACTAGCTGGACTTTGTCAGGGATTTATACCCCCAAAGCAAGGGCTCTGTGTTGGAGTTTGGAGTTTGGGGGAGGGGAAGGGGGTGACATGGTCTGGGCAGGGGGTGGGGGTGGGGGACGAGGGCCCCGTTCTCAGCAGCACTCTCTGTACAGTTTTTTTCAATCCCTGTTTTTTGAATAAATATTCTCAGCAACCAGAAGACTGTGGACGGTGCTAATGTTGGGGTGGGAAACACGCGCGTGCATACACACACACACACACACACACGCAAAACCAACCACAAAAATCCTCCAGCTCCCTCTTAGGTTGCAGCCCCATCCCTAATGCCAGTTTAGGGGTGCCTCAAGACGCTTTGGGGAGGTATCTTATCCAACCTCTTGCTTCTAGTGTCAAAAGAGATCCAGTGGTGGTCTGAATGGGTTAGAAGCAGATGGCGCTTTCCCGTGGCTTTTCCTCAGCTTGTCTCTGCTGCTGGTTGTCAGGGAAGTCCTGCTGGAAGTCTGTCCTCTGGTGCCTCCTGGGTTGGCTGAACTTTAGGGCCTGGTGGTACCTTAGGGCTCTCTTAGTCATCCTGTCCCACTTTTTTTGTTCTCCCTGGGCCAGGGACTGTCTGTAAGTTTCCAACAGTTAACACAGGAGGAGCCTTTAGGGGAGATGAATAAAACAGGTCTCAGGAGAAAAAAAAAAAAAAATAAAGGAGGTTTTGTGTCCAAGGCTCCCAGCTAAGGTTAGGCCCAGCACGGAGTCCTGAGAAACTTCGGGATCACACCAGCCTTACAGTCCACTTTTACTACCTGCCTCAGAGCCAAAAGTTGAGGCAGGAGATTTTCAGAGGCCTGAGCTGGGGCAGGGGGTGGGGGGACGGGGCTGGGCCCTTGGGCATCATCTTTTATCCAGAGCAGAAGGAGCAAGAGGGTCTCAGGTGGTCTGTGGCATGCTGCTGCCAGGGCTCTGCCCTTCTGCCAGCTGGCCGGTGTGATCTGGTGCCTGGCAAGGGGCTAGAACAGGGCCCTTGGGGGTTCTCTGGAGGCGATGTAGGAGAGTCCCGGGGTGCCAGGCTTGCGACGCGCAGGATCTTGGCAGGGCCTGGCGGGTGAGGCGGCGCAGTGCTAGACGCACAGGGCGTTGGAGGAGCCCGTAGAGGAACGGGTGGATGGCGAAGGCGGAATAAGCCAGCCAGGTGACGGCTGTCTCGGCCTCTGCAGCCCTGGTGATGGGTGCCAGGCACGCAAAACCATAAGGCAACCAACAGGCTGCGAATTGGCCTATGGCTAGGCTGGGAGCCAGAGCCGCTTTCCCCCCGGGCAGGCGAGATCGGAGAGGTGGCAAGAAGGAGAGCCGGCTGTCCAAGGAGTCAGAGCGGAGCCGGGCACCCCCAGGCCTGGGTCCGGGAGGTCTCAGGGTGGCAGCGCGCCGAGCCACCAGGAAAATACTGCCATAGGCCCCCAGCAGCAAGAAAGCTGGCAATGCGAATGCCAGCAGTGCCCAGAGTGGCCGGAAGGGTCCAAGCCCCCCAGCCAACACTGAACACCGGGCTGGTGCAGGGGGCGGGCCGGGAGGGGGTCCCAGCAAAGACAGGACACCCAGGATCCCTGCTGAAGTCCACACGGTGGTGAGCACCAGCCCGGGCCGGGGCCGGATACCCGGATGCAATGGGTGTGCAATGAATCGGTAGCGTGCCAAGGCCAGGGCGGCCACACCCAGCGTGCATGCGGGGAGCAGAGCTGCAGAGAGGAAGCGCGCAGCCCGGCACCATGCAGGGCCCAGGGGCATCCGGCCCAGTCCAGACGGTGGTGCTGCCAGCAAGCCCAATGGCATGATGGATGCAGCGGCCAGGAGATCCACCACGCACAGGTGCACGAGATAGAGGCCATCTTGTAATCCTGGGGTACGCACCACCACGATCAGCAGGGCCCCGTTGCCCAGCAGTGCCCCCACCTCCACCAGCACGGCCAGAATGAACCCCATGGAACCCCCCTCGCTTCCCGCAGGGGTGATCCGCAGCAGCAGTACCGTGCCGTTGGCCATCAGAGCCAGCCGCTCAGTTGCTTGGTCCGAGATTGCAGAAAGCACGCACACATACAGAAAGCCGG